CCCGTACTTTATAATAAAGTATTGTACGTTATTTCTGGTAATTGTACTCTATACTTTATGAGAACAATAAAGTACACGAAAATACTTTATTTCGTATGAAGAGAAAGTGCTTTTTCGTTAAACGAAATTTTTCGATTGGTGTTGAATGGATTTCGCCACTCGACAGCGCCACATCACTTAACCACTCGTTTTTAACAATTTCTGAACGCAACCTAACCTCAAATGTCAACAATGTCAGTGTCATTGTCATAATGTTTTTTTTGTGCATCGTTTTGTGCGAAGCGGTTTAGTGCATTAAGAATACGATTTAAAGTTTTACAGATTCATGTTATAGTAGTACATCATGAATACTCCACATACACCTATAAAACGTAATTTTAATAGTGAAACGGATCAAATAGATAGTGAATATGTTACACCAAAAAAATGTTTAAAAACAAAAGATACGACAAAACAGAAAAATAAACGAATGCAGAAGTATAAAAGTCAGTGGGAAATCGAACATGGTGATTGGTTAATTAATGATCCACAAAACGAATATAATGGAAAATGCAAATTGTGTGGAATTACATTTACAATTGCTTAGCAGGTATAGGACAAGTAAGAAAAAAAAAACTTATTTTTCAGTGTGTGTGTGTGTGTGTTGGTATCCTTGCATTAAATATGCAAACTATAGGTACTATGCTATAAAATGATTAGATTTTATTTAAGATAAATGTGCACTTTTTCCCAATAACTTTGAAAGTATAATTATTTTATGGTGACTGGAGGTGATGGGTAAGGTGACGGGTTTAATCTTATTATTTTCAGGTTAAACAACACCTGCAAACAAAACAACACAAATCAAAATATGAAACTAGGAGAACATGTGGACTACTTGAGAAATTCCTTGACTCTTCTTCTGCTTCCACATCGTCTAGATGCAGTGATAAAGAAAATGTTGTTGCATCTGAGTTAGCCCTGACATATCACACAGTAAAACATAATTTGTCTTACAATAGCATGGATTGTACTATAAAATTGAATAAAATTATTTATGCCAATTCACCTACAGCTAATGCAATTCATCTAGCTAGAACAAAAATGGAAGCACTAGTTACGGAAGTGTTGGGCCCATATTCTTTACAAAATGTACTAGATGCTGTTAATACAGATAATTTGTTTTACTGTTTACAAACAGATGCTTCTAACAAGAAAAATATAAAACTCTTTCCTTTAGTGATACAATATTTTACAGCCAAAAATGGCATTGAAAACAAATTAATAGATTTTCATAAAAATAGTAATGAATCTGCTGATGGTATGTTTGAAGCAATTCAAAAGTCATTAGAGCAATACAAATTATCTTTTCGTAATGTATCTGGGTTAAGTGCAGATAATACAAATGCAAATTTTGGTGTTAATCATTCTTTATTCACCAATATGAATAATTTGGTACCAGGTTTGATTAAAGGAAATTGTCACGCACATATAGTGCATAATTGCGTCAGACATGCCATGAGCTTTTTATCACATGACATAGAAAATGTTATTTTAAAAATTTATGCTCATTTTTCACATTCTGCTGTAAGAAGAGAGGAGCTAAAAAAATTTGTAGCATCAGTAGATGGAGACTTTCACGAAATCAAACGCCATGTGGGAACAAGATGGCTCTCTCTTTTGCCATGTATTGATACTTTATTATTAAATTGGTCACCTATAAGAAGCTACTTTTTAGGTTTAGACTACTGTCCAATGGTTTTACAAAATTTATTGATGCTCAATGAAACTGAGAATGATGTGATTGAAATTTATTTGCATTTTTGTAGTCACTTATTAAATTTATTTAATAAGGCTGTTAAATGTCTAGAAGGCAACAGCATAACAATTTTAGACATTTATGGGATTATGGATAATCTTAGAAACGGATTAACACAAAGAAAACAAGATCTTTTCTTTGGCTATGAAACAGGCAAAAAAATTAAACTGACTTCACCGGAACTGACTAGAAAAATTCACACGAATTTTTTATTATTTGTTGACAAAGCCTTAGAGTATCTGAATAAATGGTTTGATTTCAATAACACAAACTGGTTATTTACACTTGGATATATAAATTTAAAGAGCAAAATTGAATTTAATAATATTGTTAACATAATTGAAAATTTAAATCTTCAAAAACTTAATGTAGATATGGATGATCTATATGGAGAAATTGCTTTACTAAACCAAGTTTATAATCAGATAAGTACTTCTAAGAGTTTTGCAGAACTATCTACTGCACAAAAATGGCAGCAAGTATTTAAGAGTGATGATAATTTTTTAAACTTGTATAAAGTAATTTCATTTTTATTGTCTATTCCCGCCACGTCAGCATTCACAGAAAGAGTTTTTTCTGTGATGAACAGCAAATGGCGAGACGAAAGAAACAAAGCGTCTCTAAATTTGATAAAAAATGAATTACTTATTTACTTTAATTTAAATTTAGATTGTAAAAATGCTGTGCAATTTTTTAGTGAAGATAGTAATTTGATACAAACTGCAAAAAGCAATAAAAAATATGTTTTTAAATATAATAATAAAGAAAAATAAATTGTACTTTATTTTGAATCTATGTACTTTTTTTTTTCCTACCTTTAATAACCAATGTACTTTAATTGCAAAAAAAAAAGGTGGCAACCCTACTTCAGCCATTCTATTAAGAATGCGTAACGTTCGCGTTAAAGGCGCCTTATCGATCATCGCGGCCGCCGCCGTTTCCATACGTACCCGTCTGGAACACACAGCCCAATTCGTCCCAATATGTCACTATTATATATTTTTCCTCTAAGTATTTTAAAAATATATAAGGCAAATGCTAGGTCTCGTCTTACCTCAAATCGTTGTAGCCAACCATACCCAGAATAAATAAAGTTGGGTACATTAATGGATACATAGGGTAGATTCCATGATAGCGCATATATAAGTATCTTATAAATTTATTTTGCACTCGTTCCAGCATTGCACTATACCCATTTTCGTGCGGTGACCATATTAAGGCGTTACACTCCATATTACTCCTTACCAGCGTGTTATACAGTGATGGTTACCTTAATGTTCGTGAAGCCGTGAACTGTGCGAAGAATGAAGTCCAAGTTTCTATACGCTTTTTTGCAGCAATAGATAATGTGTTCCCTAAATGTTACTTCACTATTTAGTAGAACGCCTAGATCTTTGAACTTCGTGAACTCTTACAATTTGCGCACCATCCACTTCACAGTTATATACAATGGGCTTGCGCTTTCTAGTAAATGAAATGGTTACACATTTGGAGGCGTTAAACTGTAAATGGCTATTCATGCTCCATTCCACCACTCTGTTTACGTCCTGTTGTAGTTTTCACAGTCTGCCCACGTTTCTACGACATGATACAACTTGAGGTCATCAGCAAAAAGAAGGAAGGTAAGAAAAACTGAAGTGGCCCTAAATTACTGCCTTGGCTTACTCCAGGTTTTGTTACATATGTGTCCGACGTACGGCTGGCATATTCCACATACTGCTTTCTAGCGTCATATAGCTGGCAAATAATTTTAACAATCGTGGAGTAAGCCAACTGCCGCTAACTTTTTTAGCAAGACCTCGTTATCCACTAAGTCAAACGATTTTTAAAGTCAAAGTAAGCGGCGTCGACTTGCACCCCCCTATCCACTGCGGGAACAACTTCAGCCATGTAGCTAAGAAGGTTGCTAGTGGTGCTTCTCATTGGCCGAAACCCGTGCTGCGCTTCCGAGAGCTGATGATTCACCTGCACGAATATTTTATCGTACATGGCCGACTCAAATACTTTAGCTACTGATGAAAGCACGGCAACAGGTCGATATTCGTCCACCTGCGATCCTGCATTTTCCTTTGGAACAGGAACGACCCTTGTTGTTTTCCATCTATCGGAAAAAATAGCACTGTCCAGGCATTTTGAATAAATGTACATTAACGGCTTACTTATCACGAAACGGCAGTCCCTGAGTATATACGGCGGAATGCAATCCGGGCCAGCGGACCTCTTAGGTTTTAGCTTTTGCAAGACGCGTTGCACATCCTGAAGACTCAGATTTTCAATATGCACCCGCACAGCTGCGTTGGTATTCGCAGCCGCTATTATTGCGTCGGTAACACTTAGATTGGCTTGTTCCGTCCTATACACTGAATGGAAATACTGAGCAAACTCTTCTACACATTGCTTACCACTCAATACTTCCCCATTTTTTCAAAATTTGTTTTTTGTTTTTGCAGCTTCTTTTGGACCCTATGTAATTCCAAAAAGCTTTTGGTTCTTCTACGAGATGGTTTTGAACGCGACTCTGATGCTGCTCCTGAGCGAGTTTTATCATCTTCTTAACTCTCGCTTGACACTGAGAAAATAGTTCATAATCGTTTTTTGATTTACTCATCTTATACCTCTTATGGCGATCTGCTTTTAATTTTAATTCGCGTATTATCTCAGCTGTGTACCACTCAGGATAAATATACTTCGACTTTACCTTACTTATTTTTTTCCTAGGTACGCAATTATCTATTAATTATTTATAGAGCAATAAAAAAATCAAGACTTGTTTCTAAATCTAAACCATACATTGGAGACCAGTCTATTTCCTCTATAGCTTTATACAAGAGAGGAAAATTAGCAATGCTAAACTTCCAAGCAGGTCTCACGTAGCATTCGCTGTCAATGGATCCCTGCGCGGCAGCGGCTCCGCCTGCGACGAATTGCAAACACACTGCTATCTCAAGCGTTCAACAACAACATGGCATGTTTTCAGATTTGTTGCCAACTTTTTTGTTAAGCAAGGAAAAATTGTCTTCCAGACACCTATTGTTCTTTCTACTGTGTTTCTTGTTTTTATATGGGCCTTATTATAATTTTCTTCTGAAACTGTTTCTGGTTGTAGAACTGGTGCCAGTAAATATTTTTGACAACCATATCCACTATCTCCCAAAAGTATACCATCAATACCTTGTTCCATCTTTCTTTTTAAAGTGGTAGCTTAGAAAATTCGGTTGTCAAGTACTGAACCAGGTCGATCAGCGACAATGTCATATATTTGTAGGTCAGGTCCACATACAATCTGTACATTTATTGAAAAATATTTTTTGCGGTTCCTGAATACTTCCGCATAAGAACCACCAGGATTTTGAATTGGTATATGAGTTCCATCAATGGCACCGATAATACCATGAAAGCTTCCTATGCTGTAAAATTGTTCTTTGATTGTCTCAAGATTGCTAGGAAACTTCACAAATCGCTGCATCTTTAGACAAAACAGATATGAAACTCTTTGCACTATCATTGAGACAGTTGGTTAGTGTTGCCCAAAATTGGGCTTGGTCTTGCAGTCTTGGTCTTGTTCTTGCATTTTTGCAAGACCAAGACCAAGAACAAGACCACCTATTTTTAGCAAGACCAAGACCAAGACTGACCGTGCAAGATTTGCGCAAGAACAAGACTATGCTTGCGAGACTCTTGCGTCTTGCATTTAGGACTGAGTGTCGTTTGAGGGAGTATAGGAGTTCGGGTATACGCTTAGGGACTCTATGAGCCACAAAAAAATATAATAAAAAAATGGAAAATTGAACTTATGCGTATTACGAACAATACCATGAACATACATAGCGAATGAAAATATCGATTAAAAGAAAAAAAGAGTGCATCCATAGTTTTGACCATCAGCACTTTGATAGTGCGCGGCGTCTTGTTGTCGGCGTCATGAAAGGTCGGATACTGACCTGTCAAAGAAATTGTGCAGCTATTCGAAAGTACAAGGTCAAGGTGCCGGCGGGTACTATTGATATCGCATACAATCGTCGCCGCCGCGCCGCACGCACCACATTTGACACTGTTTTATTGCCGCCACAGAGTACATGTTCCGAAGAATAAAATAAGTTTACGGGTGCTCAGAGTGGACACGAATACATTATGCTGATCTCGCAAGGAATATTGTAATTAGATAATGGTAAAGATATGTAGATATCCTAAAAATTTATTCTAGTAAGTAATTATTATAACATTAACTATATGGGTTTATAATAATTACTTACTGTTATTATTATTATTATTACCTAATAGATAAAGATGTTCAATAAGTTCACTGCAACTCTCGACTTTTGGAAGTGTGTGTTTTTAAAACACAAAGTGCTCGAATATATCGTCACCCATTTGATAAATATTGTAGAAGCTTTTAAAACACTTGAAATGTGTAAAAATGGATCTGGATCTTGTCTTCAAGGCTTAGTTATTAACGAATTGGAGGATTACCTAAGTAAACCCAGAGCCGCCAGCTCGGAAGACATTTTAGAGTGGTGGAGGACGCATGAGACAAAATATCCGATTTTATCGAAGATGGCCCTTGATTTTCTTTCAATACCTGCAACTTCAGTACCTGAGAGTTTTAGAGAGATTACTTTCTAAAGCGTCATTAGTAATTAGAAAACATAAAAATAGGTTAAGTGATGAGTCAGCAAGATGGTTACTTTGTAATAATGCTTGGTCAAAAGAATTAATATAAAGTAACAGTAATGTCAAAGCTATTGTGTACTCTGAAGTAATTTAATTTGTATCGTATTTTATTTTTTACTAGCTGTTCCTCGCGACTTCGCCCGCGTGTTATTTGGGGTTTTAATTTTATTGCCCGGAACCCTATTTCTTTTTCTTTTTCTAAAATAAAAGTAACCTAAGTTACTCCTTGTGACATCAGCTATCTGCCAATGAAAATCCCGTCAAAATCTGTCCAGCCGTTTCAGAGATTAGCCGCAACAAACAAACAGACAGACAGACAGACAAAAACTTTAAAAATTGTATTTTTGTTATTAGTGCCGTATATACTTTCATATGCATTTAGTAAAAAGCTGTAATTTTGACATTACAAACAGACACTTCAATTTTATTTATTTGTATAGATTTAAATAAATGGTATATTGTATAACTCTTTTATTCCATTTCATATATGGTGAGGGTCCATCAATTTCTTTCTAGACAGATAATGTTCTTTAAAATACAGTAAAGTTATTGCCATTACTTTGTTTTTATATGTTTAACCATGTTTTAGCACATGTAAGCTTATTAAATGTAAACGTTTATTAAGAAACAGACTGACGCCCGTGGCTGTGGGACACGGTAGATAGCTCAGTTGGTTAGAGCATCGGCACGGATCGCTTAGGTCGTGGGTTCAAACCCCACCCGGTGTCAGTCGATTTTTCGAATTTCTCATTAAATGTTTAGACATTTATTAATTTGGTTGGTCTTTACTATGACTATGTTAATTCAAGCTCAATATGTACCTACTTTGTTAAGTTGTTCTAAGATCTAAAGTAACGTTTAATAAATAGTAATAGGCTAATAGGTAATTGCGAGACTTGCTAGACTCTTGCCGCAAAACCAAGACCAAGACTGGGAGCGCAATACCAAGACCAAGACCAGGTGTATTGGCGCAAGACCAAGACCAAGACTTGCTAAGTCTCGTCTTGTTCTTGCATTTGGGCAACACTACAGTTGGTTGGCTTACTTTTATGAGATCCCCGGTAATAATGTAGAAAAAAAATGATGGTGTTAGTACTTACTAATTTAATATAATAACTTATATAATTACCATGAAAATACATGTGATGGAAACTTTAATTACATAGGGATCTACCTATATTTACTTTTTAATGTTGATTTTAAGAGGAATTATATCCATTGTTATTATTGGTACCTATGCATAAATATTATTAAAATAATGTGGATTTGGAACTGTTGATAGGTAGATTGACTAAATTATTATTACAAACCTGGAAACTCCCAGATGAATAAAATCTTAACGCTACTAGTAACTGGTAAATAGGAGGCACTGGAAGGCCTCTCCTGGTAACCTTCAAAAGATCAGCATTTATTAGAGGCAGAAGTATATTTAATACAATATCTTTTGAAAACTTATAGCGACTTTTAAATTCATTGGCACTGTGATAATCAAAAGGATTTTGAAAGTCACGTATCACTTTTCTTGTGCTAATCCTTCTTTGTTTTGTACGTTTATTCTCTCCAGGATGTAATTATCAAAGTCATCTTCGCTGCTGTAATCCATCGCAATTATTCAAACAAACCAAATCAGCGTATCACCAATCAACAAACAAACTATATACCCCATACCAGTTTGACATTTGCATTAATTTGTCGCACTATGCGTAGCGTAAAGTTAGCGAAGCTAGCGAGCTACTTTATCTGTGCACTCATTATAATGAGCGCATAGTGTCGTCTAACCCTCAAGTGACGTTTACGAAGCAAAATTTCGTCTACTGTGCGTTAAAGCCTACTGTGAGTATGCATAGTATCGTTTTTGAATACGGGTCTTAGTGTTTAAAAGAGGTTGTATTCTTATAACTCGGTACGAGGTTGTATTCTTATAAGTTAACGGTTAAGTCGGTTTATCAGTTATTATACAGCTCAAGCTGTATAAAATCTGTATTATGAGATCTTAATAAGCTTAGGGTTCTTAATCAGAATATGAAAACCCTAGTATACAACTTTTTGTAACACTTCAATCTGATTTTATCATTAGAGTTGCATAGAAGCTGTTTTATTGCATGCTGTTCCTTGCTTATACAGCTCTAAAGGTCAAACTGCACTTCGGCGGCGCGGCGCGGAGAGGCGCAGCGCGGCATGGAGCGGCCAGATATTATTTCTACTAATTACTATGATTAAAACGCACCACAGCGGAGCGCCGCGGCGCGCCGCGAGGGACTTGAGCCCGAGAGAAAATTTTAAAATGCCGACCCTTTCCGCTCCGCGCCTCTGCCCTTAGTGCGGTATGGCTAGCGGCGCGGCGCGGCAAAATTTTCGTAATAGGTAGTTTAATATAATATTTCGTCGAGACGCGCATGCTTTCTTAGTTAAAGTACCTAACGCTAATTACACATCTTTTTCACTTGACATCATGATTAAGGCAGGTAATTTATTCTCTTTGGCGACATCCTCGCCGAATCATTTCTGTTTGCCAAGATAATGATCCCACAGTAGAATTAAAGTATTCTTTTATTTTATCTCCAACTTCGCATTGCTAGTAAAATTACCACCAATCTGTGGAAGTTCCAGTAACTGTAATTGATCGATGGGCCTTTTTTGTCACTACAATGTAGTGGATCATCACTAAGAAAATTGTGTAAGCAGCAGGTGGCCAGAATTACGTTATCAACGTTTTCTGGACTTAGATTTATTGTACGATAGTAAATTCTAATTTTTTGACATAATATAGTAGTTGTAAATTTTATTGCCATCTTGCCAATGTGTTCCCGGATATGGTCTCATTAAGTAATGTATTAATGGGAAAGCTTCGTCGCCGACTATGGCATGTAGCAATTGAATACTTGTGCCTGGTAATGATTTAGGTCCTGGTATATTCAAAGTATTCGTTTCAAGTTCTTTTTTTTTGCTAAAGCTGATCGGGAATATATTCCTCCGTCACTAATTTTCCCAGTTCACCAACGTGAACTATTATTAATTTTTAATTGGCATCTACCGATCCGCTGTTTGGGGGAGCTTGTATCTTTGTGTTTTCTATTCATCGCTGCTATACAGTTGGGGAAATTCCACCTTTGTGAAAATCAACCCTCGGCATTCTTCCATGTTCCCTCAGTAGGTTCAGGCATAATTATTTTCGACAAGACTTCCCAAATAACTGAACAAGTTGTATGCACTATTTCTTGAACTGTAGTATATCCTAAACGGTAACTTTCTCCAATAGTCCGAAATGAATCACCAGTCGCCAACAATCTAAAACAAAATAACATTTTAGTATTTCTTTTACGGATACCATCTGCAGAGAAAAATGTAAGGCGTTAAGAGATTCCTTTTTTTAAAAGAATAGGGTGACAAACGAGCACACAGTCTACCTGATGTTAAGTGGTTGCTGGCTCTCAACTTCAACTATCCTCGTTTGCGAATCAAAATGCAGATGCGTTGTCACCCGTGAGGACTGAGATGGAATGCTTCTTTTCCAGTAAAATGGGTCTCCGGTTCTCTAGACTCACCATACGAAACACAGCAGTTTTAAGGTGCTATTTTACGCTGGTATTCTGTGCGAGCGTGGTCATTCCCCGGTCGAGCCGACCCATTCGTGCTACAACTATACTACTAATATAGCTGCAGTATGGCTCTACCACGTATAAAAAGCTGATCGGGAATATATTCCTCAGTTTTAGCAAATGATCCTTCGATCCTCTATAAGACAGCCAGCCAATTAAAATTCAAGAATTCAGAGCAATTCAGGTCTTCAGATCTCAGGCGCAAAATTAGGAAGTCGTCGTCTACGAGCCTTCCATACTCAGCAGCGATTCCTATTTTTGCAAGCAGACTTTATTAAAGACACGATAGCATAGCTTGACTTAATACAGTAGTTCGCCTTTTATATACATTTGTAATTATCTTTCAATATAGAAATCTTGTTTTCATCCTTTAGTTCTTGAATTATATGCAATAAATACAACTAAAGTCAAGATTTTTATTTTGGGAATTCGACTACATCAATTTATTATATACATCACCCAAGAGCTCCTGCCGCATCCAGGAACAGGATCTTGGGCAAACAAATGGTTTCTTTCGTACCATAGATGTGTCAAAAGGCGCAAAATAAGAGCGAAGACGCTCCAAAAAATTAAAAAATGGTGATTTGAAGGTCAAATAGAGTTTTTACTTCCTTACTTCCAATTGAGAAGCTCAAAAACAAATATTACGGATGCTATGATAAGTGATGATGATCAAAGGTCTAGTCATTCAGCTATTGTATTTGTAAATTTACCATAGCCTACGGGATCGACCTCTACGCCTAATCTGGAACCAGAACATTCTTCACCATCTTCATCGAGATCCACTGTAACTCCTGATCTCTCGAGACCGGGCCCTTCTACAATATCAATACCTGACATATTTGAAAACATAACGGCAAGAAAACAGAACAAACAACCACAATCTTAAGTAGCCAACGTATTATACAAATATTTAGACTGCCAAAAAGAGTAATTAAGCCCTATTCATTCTTTTTTTAAGGCCATGGCAGATTCTGTGGTAAATTTGTCTCCAGATTTACAGCTTAAGGTAAAAAACGAAATATATTTAAGCGTATCCCAAGCGGAATTAGAGAATTTAAATGGAATACCTACATCATCTTTAAGTACACGATGTATCACACCAAATAAAAAGAAATATTGATCTTTCACAGCAAAAGAAACCGAAGATCTGTATCCTCTAGAATGAAATTTTAAGAAATGCTGAGACACAAAATATTTCACAGCCATCTCAAGCTATCCGAACGAAATATTGTGCTCCAGGATGAAAATGAGGCAAATGCTGAAACACAATACATTCTACAGTCATCTGAAAGTATTTTACAACCACATCCACAGGCTCGCTAGCGATATTACTTCAATCCTAATGGCGAGTTATGTTTTCAAAATGACACAAATAAGGAAAATTCTGTCAATGAATGATTACGATATTGTCAATAATTGGTTTGCCATTCATTCATTCATTACAGCCCTTCACAAGTCCACTGCTGAACATAGGCCTCCCCCAAAGAATTCCACAAAGCACGGTCCTGAGCCACCTGCATCCATCGACTTCCTGCATATCTTACCAGGTCGTCACTCCATCTAGTGGGGGGACGCCCTGCACTTTGCCTGCCGGTACGAGGCTGCCACTCGAGAACCTTTCTTCCCCATCGGTTGTCGGTTCTTCGAGCTATATGGCCGGCCCATTGCCACTTCAGCTTACTAATCCGTTGGGCTATGTCGGTCACTCTAGTTCTACTGCGGATATCCTCATTTCTGAGTTTATCACGCAGAGAAACTCCGAGCATAGCCCTCTCCATAGCTCGCTGAACGACCTTGAGCTTCCTCATCCGGCCAGCAGTGAAGGACCACGTCTCAGTTCCGTATGTCATCACTGGCAACACGCACTGGGTGTACAGTCTCGTTTTCAAGTTTTGAGGTATACCTGACGAGAAGATGTGCCGTAATTTCCCGAACGCTGCCCAACCGAGTTGAATCCGTCGATTGACCTCTCGGTCGAAGTTGGACTTACCTAGTCGGACTATTTGTCCCAGGTAAACATACTCGTCAACAACTTCGAGCTTAGTGTTCCCAACAACTACCGGCATAGGTGTGACATGGACATTAAACATGATCTTTGTTTTGTCCATGTTCATCTTAAGACCTATCCGTTGGGAAACACTATTGAGGTCATTGAGCATAGTGCTTAGGTCCTCCAGCGATTCTGCCATAAGGACTATATCGTCGGCAAATCGAAGGTGAGTGATGTACTCGCCATTGATGTTGATACCGTATCCTTTCCAGTCCAGAAGCTTGAAAACATCTTCCAATGCAGCGGTAAAGAGTTTCGGGGATATGACGTCACCCTGTCTTACACCTCTCTGCAATTGGATAGGTTTCGTACTCTGGTTCTGTACTCGGATAGCCATCGTAGCCCTACTGTACAAGCACTTCAACACTTCGATATACCGACAGTCAACTTGGCATCGCTGAAGGGACTGCAGCACCGCCCAAATTTCGACGGAATCAAAGGCTTTCTCATAGTCCACATACGCCAGACATAGTGGCAAATTGTACTCCTCGGACTTCTGTACAATTTGCCGAAGGGTATGTATGTGGTCTATGGTGCTAAAGCCCTTTCGGAAACCGGCTTGTTCGGGAGGCTGGAAGTCGTCAAGTCAGCGCGCGAGACGATTCGTAATGACTCTCGAAAACAGCACGTAGACGCGGCTCAGAAGGGAAATCGGTCTGTAGTTCTTCAAGAGAGCGTTGTCGCCTTTCTTGAAGAACAAGACCACCGCACTTCTGCTCCACGCCTCCGGTGTAATGCCACCATGGAGGACGAAATTAAAGAGCTTCTGAAGGACTTCAAGTACCGGTTTTCCACCCGCTTTCAGAAGCTCCGCTGTAATTCCATCCTCGCCTGGGGCCTTGCCGTTTTTAAGGTGCTGGAGAGCCATTCTAATCTCGCTCAGACTGACGTCCGGGATATCATCGGAATAATGTCGGATAAGACTCGCTCTTGGATCGTTACTCACACTTGCATGCGGCTCCAACGATGACGTGTACAGCTGCCCATAGAACCTCTCAATCTCACTCAAAATCTCAGGTGCCCCGGAAACGATGCTGCCACATTCTGACTTCAGCTTTGACAGTTGGCGCTTTCTGGCAGACAGATCTCTGGCAAAGACTTTGGAGCCTCGGTTCCGCTCGATCGCTTCTTCAATACGAGCTGTATTGAATTTGCGTAAGTCCCGCCGCATGCATTTGGAGATCTGTCTGTTCAGTTGCCTGTATGCTGTTAAATCTGTTGAAGAATGTAGCTTCATCTCCCGTCTAGCAGCCATGAGATTAAGAGTGTGATCGGAGAGTTTTTGTGTTCTTCTGCGGCGGGCCTTGCAGAACTTATCTCCGACCGCATGGACAGTTTCCACGAGCTTGTCATTCAAATCGTCCACTTCATTGCATATATATACATACATTTTTTGCCATACATAGCATTTACTGTATAGGTTATAAAATAAATAAATAAATACTTTAAACTCACATACCTCATTGTAACCATGAGCTTTTTTTCTGCACCTATTGCTCTACGGAAACGTGTATCTCGCAGTTCAATGTAAGGCTTTATAATTTGCAACAGTTCATAGAACTTTCTTAAATTAGACATTCTTAAATTAGTGTGAAATCGATCAGGGTCCTTTAAGATTCGTGGAAAAGAGTGTGGTATTCTCCCTCTTTATAGCGAGAATTTGGAATATCGTGCACTCATACGTAATGCGTTTTAGTTCTTTCTACTCTTTCTGCCTCTTTGCATAATAAAGACACCACTATTACTTCTTCAATATTCTCTTCCATATCAAAGTCTTTGGAAGAATCTTGATGCTCCACCGACTCTGAAATCCGTGTTGCTACTGCGAAGAAACTGAAGCGCCGTTCCGCGCCACGCCGCCGAAGTGCGGTTTGACCTTAAGTGTTATTATAGTATCACTAAAATCTTTTTCTGGACAATGGTGTATGCAAACTCTCTTATTAAACTTTTCTTATGGTGTCATTGTACACTTTTGTAAATACATGACTTCTGTCTATGAGAGTAATATAAAACTAAAAAAATAAATAACAGCCATAGTACGACTTAAATCTGTAAAAGTGACAGAATATCACCATTTTGCATGCGTTGCGTGTTTATATTTTGAACAAAATGAATTTGTTAACAATATGTCGAAGAAAAGAAAAAGATTTGGTGCAGTAAAAAGATCATGTTAATTCTACGTTAAATTTATCCAACACTACCAAAGACAAGATTTTACATTTCTTATATGTATCTCTAAAGAGAGTTATAATATGTTATGATGAAAAAACTGCTATACAGCGTAAGTAATAAAAATATCCTATTATTGAACTTATTAAAAACCAATGGCTGCGTGATATTACCCATAACATACACAGTTCAGCTATTAACAATACGAGACCCTCAAAATACCGTTTAGGCTGTTTAGCAAATTGTCGCTATTTTAAGACCCATGAAAAAACTTAAAAATATAATTTTGGGAATATTAGGCATAAGTCGAAGCCTATATATATATATATATAACACCTTTATACACATTTTTAAATTAAGGCTTTCTTCAAATAATGATAAACTTTTATATATCGGAAATGACAACAGGAGATCCCACTTGTGATCTCGGAAATACATCAGGATAGCGTTAACTGTTAAAAATAATAAAAGTGTGAGAGCGGATGTTCAACTTGCTCTCTTGCTTGCGCAGTTTAATCATTATCAGTAATAAGACAACGTAACGCACTATACATTCAGTATAGTGAAATTACAGTTCGACCATACCGTAACACGTCTCTGCCACAATCACACACCAGTGTAACGTGAGGTACGTAATTACATGATAACACCAAAATATGTAAACCAACAGCAACACTACTTATCTCAATGTAACACAGGGCGGCCTCTCAGCAACACTAATCCTCCTTGCCTGCACTAGAAGAATTACAACAACGAACAGAACCACGACACTATCTTAGCACTAGTAGAATGACCACACTCGTTGAGTGACTGAAGCGGACCCTTTCACGCACGGCACCTACAGTGTACTTTATACTACAGACACAAGAGGGGGTTTCTCGATATACCCTCCATTCTACCTCGACCCAACCGGGTATTTTATAGACGCTCCGACATATATTAAAATACGAGGAAACGATACGAAGCAACAAAACACAGCGCTTGGCGTTGCTTGACTTGACAATTGACGTTGACAGTTTGTGTACACCACCACAACCAAACCTCAAGAAGCTCAGCAGAAATATACTACACATAATATAATTGTTTATGTGTAGCATTAATTTATTAGCGATAAACATTAACATGGCTCAACAAAATACTGTAAGTATTGTGAACTCTTTGCCGTGATATATAAATTTACAGTAATGTTACAAAAGCTTGAGTCTTTGTCTCAAAGTCGCGCCAAAAATGTAAGACACCTGTAAAATTTTGTTTCAGATGAAGACAAGGGCCCTTGGTAAGGACGAAATACTCTTTCTGCTTGACTTGATTTCCAAGCAAAAAGTAATTACTACTAAAGCTACGAATGCCACAAATAATAAATTAAAGGAAGAGGCTTGGAAATCTATAGCGCAGGAGTTTAGTGCGATGGCGGGAGAATTGCGGCGTCCTGAGCAACTACGCTTAAAGTGGGAAAACTTAAAGAAGTCGTCAAGAAAACGCAATGCATTGATAAGACAAAATAATTTAAAGGTTTGTAACAAGTACATACATTAAATATTTTGTGACATTTTGTTAGATATACCTAATCATCTTAGAATTTTTTTTTAATGTAATATTTCTATTGAAACATTTTTATTTGCAGACTGGAGGTGGAAAGATGTACATCCCTCCCGATGAAGCACTAGATCGTGTAACATCTATGTTAGGTGCAACATGCACGGGGTTCACTGTGGAATTTGGTGGTGATGGGGAAAGTGAAATGATTCCACCAGATGCAGTGGTGGAACTCATGGACTTACAACCTTTACCGGAGCATTCAGAAGCTGTAACTAGTGATTTGGTGATGGGAGATGGTGGTAGTGCTGAGTGTGGTGGTAATAGTGAGAAAATTTTCACACCAAAAAGATTTACTTTTAATAATCCTTACAAACCCTGTAAGTTGTAGCTGTAATATTTAACCTCAGTTGTTACTAGATAATTTATAATTTTGTACAACCAACTTCAATATAAATTATTAAGAATAACTCAAAAACTATTGGTCAGACCTTGATCAAATTTATATGAGACCACATATGAAGCACCAGCTTTTAAATAAAAAAAGAATCATAGAAATCGGTTCACCCAGTAAAAAGTTATGAAGTAACACACATAAAAAAAACATACAGTCGAATTGAGTACTGGCTCCTTTTTAAAGTCCGTAGACAAAACAGACCGCCTCTCTATGGTCTAGTAGTGTGATTGCTTGTTGCAGGTTTTGCTACAACTTTGTGTATTTTTTTCTGGTTAATGAGGAAAATCTAAAGGCTTACCACTCAATTGTCTGACAAATAAGATAAATTGTGAAATAGGCTATAGTAGTTGGTTCTGGGTAATCTCTAATGTATAAAAGCTTTTACAAAATTTACTTTGCAAATATCCGCGTTATAACGCGGATATTTGCAAAGTAAATTTTTGTAAAAGCTTTTATATAATGGATTTCCGCAAAGTAACGCCTGATTCTATTAATTATATCTCTAATGTAGTTTGGATAGTAGTTGTTACTAATGTTTTTCTATGTCATCTCCTATGCCCGATCTCTGTGGTCATCAGTCATCAATTCTATCAAGCTAGGAGAGTGTAAAATATGAGAATTTAACTATGTTTTTTATTTTCACAGTAAAGAAACGCCAAAAACCCTCTGAAGAACTATTACGGGCTCAGATAAGCAAGGAATTAGCCATGGCTGCTTATTTTGAAGCCAAAACTGAAGTGGTTAAACTTGAAAAAGTTAAACTGCAGCTAGAAATAGAAAAATTAAACAAGTGACTTGTGATTACTATAGTACTAATGTTAAGATTTTGTAAATAGTGATAATAAGGTGTATTTTTTATAAATTATGTAATGTTTTTGTTAAGTTCATTCTAAAATAAAATCTATTTTATACATTGATTTTTATTTGACATTTATTAAATAAAATATATATTGAAATAAAGCACATTTATTCTAGTATAATTTAACATTATTTACACATTAAAATTCTTATATAATTAAACATAATTTAAACACTAAAATAATTATTAATTAGCTGTTGTCTGACACTGTGATTTTGTTGACCTATCCCTTCAGCATAGGTAATGTCACCTGATTCTTGCGGCATTGCAACTTCTGGATCTACATCTCTAATATTATTTAATCTGCAGATGTTGTGTAATACAGAAGTGGCAATAATAATGGCCTGTGTTGTCTGCATAGCTACACGGATTTTTAAAGAGAGTATTGGAAAGCGCCTTTTCCACACACCAAAACATCTGAAAAGTTACAAAGTATTTTATATTATATTCATGAAATTTAAAAAAAAAACATTAATAAAATAATATTTACCTTTCAATAGTATTTCTAGTCTTTATATGTGCTTCATTGTAATGATTCTCTGCAACAGATGTGGGGTTGAGCAGTGGTGTCAAAAGATATGAAGTACAGGGATATAAACTGTCTCCAATAAGCCATCTATTGCCAAACAATCCCTCTTCACATTGCACTGAAAATAAATAACAAAGAAATATTAATCATGTTTATGTGATGACCTATTATTATAATCTTCTAGATAACAAAGTACCTACTTACTTTTTAGCCTAGAGTTGTTAAATATAGTAGCATCATGAGCAGACCCAGGCCAACGGGCAACAACATTCATAAATAACAAGTCTGCGTTACAGACTCCTTGGACATTCATTGAAAATATGCCTTTTCTATTTCTGTATTCTTCTCCTATATTTGAATCTGCAAAAATTATGACTGTTATTAGGTATAATCTATATAAATAAATGAATCTATACTTAATAATATTATAATAAAGAATTGTATGCATGTTTGTAGAAGTTGATCCAATTCTGGCCAAACTTGGATTAAGTTCTACGTTTGAGTTTCAGGTCACTAGATGGCCTACGAAAAAGATTCTACCTAGATCTACTTTATATAAATATTTATTTATTTGGTACTACTAACCAAGTAACTGTATGGGAACATGCGTGCAGTCAATTGCGCCAAGAATTCTTGGAAATCCTGCGATTTCATGAAAGGCATTCTGGGTATTGCTTAATGTCTTCACATATTGAGGGTATAAGCCAGCTATAGCCCGAGATACATGATGCACAATTCGGCTGGCTGAAGCTTTCGATACACCAATAAAGTCCGCTACTGATAAAAGCATTGTTCCCAGTGCATAAAATCTCAAGGTCAGCAACAACTGATGTAACGGCGATATTCCATTATTCCTAAAATGTTAAATATAAGTAAAAAAAATCACAATAACTGTCATTCATATTATGTTGGGTGGCATATTTCGACGATACATATAATGTAACCAAATTTTGTTCACAAGTTTCTTTACTCACCTTGAAGAAATTACTTTTAAGGATGGTGTTATTTTCAATAATAACTCATCCACG